CATATGTGAAAATTAACATCCTGTTAATTTAATTACATATAAAAAGCATTTAAAAATTAACAGGTTTTTTTTCAAATCTGAGAGTCATTGCTCTTCACACAACACCAGGAGCGTCATGATACTTTATCATCCAAGTATGAATAATTATAAAAATTTTTTTTTGTGTTTTTGTCAAATTTAAATTTTGCTATCTTTTAAGAACAATTTATTTGTTTAGTTAAATACAATAAAAGTGTATTTTCTAAAAAGTGTTTATTTATTTATTTCAATTCAGATCATATACTTGTTCATTACAGTTTCAGAACTGAAGTAAGTTCATAAGCAATAATATGTATAGAAAACTTTTCTGTGAAATTAAACTTCTCATACAACCTCTCATAATTACTTTCAATTACACAAACATATAAGTAAAACCAGATTAACTAATTTGTCAATTTTTTAACACATGCATTTGGAAAACCTACTTTATTATATAATGGACACCCTTTTGCCCAAATTAGTCTGTTAAATTGAAGTTTTACTGTATATAAAAGAGAAAAGCATCTTTTGTAAACCGATGGCAGACCACTCCTTTATAGACTGGAAATTTGACAATGCTATTGAGCACAAACTTGTAGACTTTAGAGGGCTCTAATCCATTCTTCTCTGAAAATTGACAGAAATGCAGTTTCAAAGGATTAAAAATGTAGCACGTAATCAGTTTCCCTGACATAACAGTGGACAGTATTACCAAAGCATTCTACAGGAAACAGGACAGGAAGCATGATGATAATAAGAGTAGATAAGAAGTATGAGTCATTATTGGTAAAGCTATTAAAGCATTAGCACCATCATATGCTACACAATTCAAGTATACATTTGGGAATAAAAAGATTACCTTCTGTTATGAATATTCTTCATTGCAACAAAGATGACATACTTTCAAAATCAGGTGTACCTAATTCTAACTCTGAAGCTATCTAAATGTAAGGAGAGTTTCTATTACATCAGGTCTGCGACAAGATTGCTTTCAAAGAGAATAAAAGAGCATTTTCACTTTGGTTATATTGGGTCAATACGAAATTAGTACCTCACTTATGCAATGGACTTGCAATCATGAGTGAGAAGTATTCTAGAATAAATCAGTTCTTATTAATGAATCTTGAGACAACTTTCTGATTAGAATTCTACAGCAAATATACATTTATTGCTTATCTAAATACACTGGCATGATCAATAGTAGAGATATGATGAGTGCTTGCTATAAGCCAATGCTAGACAGCATAAACTTCACAATTCATAACCAAGCTAATGATAAATTTAACCTAATAAGATGATAGCTATAGTGGCTTACAATTACTTTGTTTACATTATAATTATATGTATAAATTTATTGTATTTTCACATTAATGATTTCATACTTGTCTATTCTGTACTACAGTGTTTTTCAACCTTTACAAGTTAAAAAATTCTGGCGACCCCCCAGGGCCATATTAAAACTATATCAGTGATTTTAAAAACTACGTATTTAATTTTCTTTCTGTTGAGACCTAAATGTCAATCGAAAAACCAATTGTACTGTAAAATAAACAGGCACAGCCTTCTCACTAAAATTCTAGTTTTTTTATCGTAGTGTAGGACCTACAAACACTTGTCGTTTTCTTTCACCCACAACCCCCTATGTAAGGCTTTGCGACCCTCCTGGGGGTCACGACCCACAGGTTGAAAAACGCTGCTGTACTGTATTTCAAATACAAAAGTGGTTGTTCTTTATGTTTTAAATTTATGTTTCATTTGCTGTTCTATAATATATTTAAACCTGAAAATGACTCAATGAGAGTTTGGTTTCCATGATAAGCAATGTCACAGAATATTATAAATTATAAATATTTTAATTTATTCAAGATATAAAATTTTAAAAAGTAACATGCCTGCAATGAAAATGATTTATTTTGGTCAAACTCAATTAAGAGAACTGGTTTTTTATAATATCTACTCATCGATTTTACTTGATTATAAAGGCGACCACTATTCAATGAACCAATTAAATCACTTAAGCTTTTTCTCTCAACACACATATCAGGAGTCAAAATATAGTCACCTATCTGAAAAAAATCAAATATTGCACTTAATAACCTAAAAGTTTATAACTTTTATAAAATTAAGTTGATTATGCCGAATACCTCTAATGTTACAGGTTCAATATCAATTCCTCTGTGATGAATTAAGGATGGAAGCTCACTTCTAAATTCTCTTAAATCAACAATAATCTGTTTTAAAATATAAAATTTTTTAAGTTAGAGAAAATAAAAATAAATATATTTTAATGAAAATACAAAAAAAGTCATACAAAATTTTGTAAATTTCTTAGTAAATGAAATTAATTTCAGAGAATCAAAGTATGAATGTCTTGAAGCTACAGAATACAATAATTTAATTATAAATAATTCTCCTGACTCTAACTTTTTGGAAATTTACTTTAAATTTAATATGTTTTCAAATTTATCAAATTAAATAACCAATCTCTGAATACTATAGTTTTAAATAACAATATTTTCAGATTAAAAATCTATTCATAAATAATTACTTAATTATTACTAAAATTGTATGTTTTTTTTTAAATTCTTTCATAACATGCCTTTTCAAGTTTCAAAGATTTTAAATAATATTGAGGAAAAGCACCAAAGTGAGAGCCCTATCCCCATCTAAGAACCTTAATTTATTTTATCAAAAAAGTATTTCAGTGGTAATTGGAGTAACTACTTTACAATCTTGTCATAAACTTATGGAATCATTTTTACACAGTTCAAAGTTTTGTCTATGAAAAGTGTTGCTTTTTCATTCTTGTTATCCATTGTTGAAACATGATTTTGTGGTCTCATCACTTCACTTCTAAATAGATAGGTTCCTTTCTTATTACTAGCAGTAGTAGTGGAAAAAACTAATGGATTATATGCTTTGTTAACCATTTCTAACACACAATAATTGATGATACCACATTGTTCAAAATATTCCCTTTTCCTAGATCAGTCCCCAACACACTACAAAGTATGATCCCCTACTTTTTAAATATTAGTTTGAGTTTGACTAATTAGGTGTTTTCTATGTTTAGATTGAAAACAATGACAGACAATGGACAAAATGAAGAAACAAATAAAACTGTCAGAATCCATGGCTAAAGCCATAGAAGGTATGAGAGAAGATGGAATCAGAAAAAGCAGTAAAACTATTTCAGGTCCCAGGTTCTTTAATGAGGTTACCATACTAAAAATGATGTCTGTATGCATTATGATGAAAACTAGTCATCAGATTGAAATGATGAACTGTAAGTGCACTGATTGGGGTTATGTGAAATGTTCAGGAACAGAGAAATATATTTGCAATTTTTACAAATAAACATTTTCATTCCTCAATGCATAAATATTTAAATAAATCATTTTATGCTAAAAATTTGCCCCGTTTCTTTTTTCCATAAATTTCCATCTATATTTGGGAGTCCAACTTTGGTGCACTATGTCTATATATAAAATAGAATGCACATATTCCATATTCTTTAGTGCATTTCTTATTACGTATTGTGTTACAAAATACCTTTTGTTGAACTATTGTCTGTTTCACTTGGCTTCCACCTTTTCTGGGATTTACAGTTTCATTAGCAGGAGCAGCATTTCTGATGAGATCGGGATGATCATCAGTTTTACCATCTCTATCTTCAGGAATAGCCATAACCTATCAATAAAAATTAATTTTTAATTGTTTCGTATATAGTACTTGAATTAATTAAAATAATTCTAAAATTTAATTAANTATTTAATTGCTCCTTCCTCTCTTCCTTGGCATGTTGTGAAATTTCTGATAGTTGGATAATAAATCGTTTTATTGTAATTTGTCTTTTTAAATTATTTTAAGTTGATATTAAAATTTGGAAAAGGGGGATCCCTAGATTGGTAAAATAGGCAAATTTCCTCCTACAACTTCGTTTGTTGTTCAGGATACAGTTAAGGTTGTAACAAAGTTCAAGCAAATACGTAATTAGCAAAAAAAAGTTGAAATAAAGTGATTAAATAAAAATTATTACAAATATCGTAAATAACAAATGCATATATAGAGAGATTTTTTGGAGGGGGAAATGGTCTTCACAATTTGAAATCGATCGAACATACAGTAAAATGCTCGTATACACGCGCACTTTCTATCGTAGTTATCCTACGATACTATGTACTATGCCAGAAACCTTTGCGGGAGTATATTAAACAACTTCCCAAAGTTTCATGGCAATCGGATAAATGGTGTGGAATAAATGGTGAATGTATGTCTGTGTCTGTCCTTCATGAAGGACAGACACAGACATACATTCATTTTTATATATATAGATTATGGCTCTCTTATAGTATTTTTGTGTGTCATTTTCTAATACTGTTTGTGGAGTATCTTTGAAGTATGGTACCTGGGTGTCTAATAAACTGTGTTTTAGTGTAATCTCTTGGTGTATTATATTTGATTATGTGTATGTAAACAGTCTGTTTGTGCCAAGCTTGCAACCAGAGGTTATATGTTATATTGTTTCTGGCAGAATATGGCATTCATTATTATTACAAAATTAAAAATATAATTAAATAATAATAATAATAATTTTGTATTTACATTACCTGAGCTGCTGTATTATAGTTATCTGATGAGGATTCTGTTGAGTTGCATTCATCTGAAATTTTTGCAACTTGATCTACTTGAGGTTGTTCTTTACCAAACTAAAAAGTAAAAATTAGACTATTGAATATTTTACAAATTATGAGAAATAAACATAAAATAAGGAAAATTAACTCATTAATGACTAACTTTGAATGTAATAAATATATTTAGTAAATTTCACATTTCAGAAAAATGAAGAATTAATATTTTAACATTTACTTTAATAATTTAATTTAGTATTTTAATAATACTAGTAATTGCAATAAACAAGTTAATAATTAAATCAAAATTACTTAAAACTTTATTAGAAAGATTAGTGAAATGTCATGTCTTTTTTTCTTTCCCAAATATCTGTATAAAATCAGAGACCAAGATTTAAAAAAAAAAAACAGTTATTTTATTCTTTTCCTTTATAAACAACAATGCATTTTGGATTCAATTTTCTTAATCCCTCCTCAGGTTTCCAACATATTAGACAGAAAACAAGTTGAATGACTAATGTGTTGGAAACCTGAAGAGGGATTAAGAAAAATTTAATCTGAAATGCATTGCTGTTTATAAAAGAAAAGAATAAAATAGCTGTGTTTTTTTAAAAAAAATCTTGGTCTCAGATTTTGTACAGATATTGGGAAAGAGAAAAGATGAGGTTTCACTAATCTTATGTTTTATAACCGAATTTTTGTGAAATGGCTGGCATGCTGGAAATCCTGGGGTTACCCACAAGCTAGTTAAACTGCGACTAAAATATAAAATTAATCAGATCTAACAAACTAATCATTAATTAAATGTTAAAGAAAACATCCTTCTGAGAATAATAAAATAGTAACATTGTTTGAAATGTAAATCAAATTACAAAGTCAATGTTAATCAGTGTAAGTTGAGATAATTTACAGCGAGTTTCTTAAATTTAATATGTTTATTTTTCATTTTTGAATCAAATAACAATAAAATTTGGAATTCCACGAGTATTGTATGCTGTTAGAAAGAAGACAAAATGAAGAAATTAAACATATAATCGTAGTTTTTGATGTAATGCTGAGTTTCAGAGTTTTAGAATGAAAACTCATTCATTTTTATGTGACATAACTCATTTGTTTTTTTAATGCGCTCTCTAGAGAGGGATCTGTAACCTCACTTAAACCCATATGCCAGTTTTTACCATAAGGAAATACCTGATTTCATGGCCTCTCTAGATAGACTGGTGTGCCAGTCATTCCGCGAAAATATTATGTTGCAAATGTCAAGCTCAATTCTGGTGCCAAGTGCTATGCCAGACTAAAGTCAAGGCAACTCAAACAACTGTAACATCAAGTTTCTGTGTTATTTGTATATGTATCCATGTCTAGAAACTTCCTAACAATATGGTATGTGTTCAATATTGCGACTTTCTATAGTGTCACATGTTTTTATTATGGGCTTAAGGTTTCTAGACTTTCGTGTAGTGTGTGGTATGACACTAATGGAAGAGAAGACAACAGGCACAATAAACATCCTATCCATCCTCCACAGTTGCCTTATTTCTTGGATGAGTGGAACATACTTGTTGATTTTTTCACTGTAAACATTTTTCTTGTCATGAATGTTTAGGATGGAGATGTCTGTAAGTGATTTTATTGCATTTGTCAATAAAAATGATGTCAAGTCTATTATGATAAATAGTTTTATATGTGACTAGCTTACCCGTCGCGCATTGCTGTGATCTCAGAAGAAACGAAATTCAAGCAAACTCATTACGATAAAATTAAATTTACATTTTATCATTTTTATTGAAACTTATTATTATTATTATTATTATTGCAAAATGCTATTAAAATAACTAATAGAACAAGTCATTCTCAGAATGAAAATGTTTTCATATATATGTATAAGAACAAAATTTTGTATAGGTAAATATTTACAGTACATGTACAAATTTTATCATTCTGATATGTTATTTCATTTGTTTTTTTCTAAGTCGTTTACTGTTTAAACAGTTTTCAGTATTTCCTTTTGCTGGATTATGAATACTCTCATACAATAACTTGGCACTAGATGAGTTATCCAAAATTTTGGTTAATTGTTCCAATGACATATTATTTAATTCTGCAATATTTTTTACTTTATTCATGATTAGATAAATATTCTTTGAATTGATACCTGGTAAACGTGACAGGAAATCCTGCAATAATAATAATATTATTATTATATCGTTTTTTTTTTAAAAAGTTTTTTCAAAAGAATTAATAAACCAATTAAAAAAAGATTTTTAACAGAATAGATATAAAATTAAAAGTAATTAAAAATTCAGTTATAAAACATAAGATTAGTGAAATGTCATGTCTNAAGCCTCGTTTAAATACTGGCTCCCTTTCATGGTCGAATGAGTGTTGCCAGCTAAAACACGTAAAAATAATATTAAAGTAGCCAAGACATAGCCAAATATTGAAGCGCCACATCAGTAGCGGACATTTGAAATTTGCCGACTAGGACGGTCGGTTAATCGGGGGTCGGATAATCGAGGCTCTACTGTATATATGTATGTTACTTGTTATATTAATGCATTACATTTTTGGATGAAGAAAAAGGAGACGAAGAAAATACATTTTGCACTTTTCAATTGCTTATATTTCGGCAACCGCAATACAGAAAATTTCGAAATTTTGCACATTACCCAAGAAAACAATTTTCTTTCGAACGAGAATTTTATTTTATTAAAGTCATTAATTTATCATTGCTGTGGCATTTTTAAATGAATTAATCTTTTGCCCCTGGATAGATATTTAAGATTTGTGCAATGCCAGAAATATATCTTTTTCCCCTAGACAAATGTTTAAGTGGACACTGTATATATATCTGCATTTATTTTATTTATTTATTCCAGATGATATTGAAATGATCAAATTCTACTTTCTGTTTAACAACCTGACAATAGTTTTGACAGTATCTTTTAAAAATTCGCGTAGAAAATTACACAAGTTTTGATAATTAAAAGCGAAATGGCATTTATTTTATTTATTTAAGCCAGATGATATTGAAATGATCAAATTCTACTTTCTGTTTAACAACCTGACAATAGTTTTGACAGTATCTTTTAACATTTACTTCAATTTTTCAATTAAAATCGCTGATGGATATTTATAAAATTCGCTAATTTAAAGAGAAATTTGTATAAATTTTAACGTAAAATATTATTATTATTTTTAGTTAATTTTGTAATATTTTATAGCTTGAATGAGAATATAAGAATAGAATTATTATTGGATTATGAAACTTTTTTCGATAGTTTGATATATTTTCTAGCTCTCAAACTTTTAGTAAACTGTAAAAGTTTATATTAAACTAGCAGGTGGGCCCGGCGTTGCTCGGGCAAAAGTAACGATAACTAAGATAAAGATTATTACGTTACAGTCAACCTTACCCGTTTTCACAGAATGCAAGAATTGGGTCCCCTTGTTTCCAGACTAATTAGAGAATTTTTAGATGGGTCTAAAAATATGTTCGATTTCCCGCAAAAACGAAAAAAACTGCATCTGCGTATTGCACGTCGCTTTCTCTTAACAATTCCATTGTTACGTAA